GGAGGGCGACGTCGAGTAGTCCTCACAGGTCATGCAGACGCTTCTTGGGCTAATGACCAGGCTACGCAGCGGTCGTCACAGGGTTACACCTTAAGCCTAGGTTCCGGCTCTGTTTCGTGGCGGTCTATCCGCTCGTCTTCTGTTCTCGGCTCCAGCTGTGAGGCCGAGATCTACGCAGGGGCCATGGCTGCACAGGAGCTACGCTGGCTCACCTACCTGCTGACTCACCTAGGAGAGCCGCCTCGTTCTCCTCCAGTTCTGTACGTAGACAACAAGGCCATGCTGGCCTTGTATCGGGAGCACAGAATGGAGCACAGAACGAAGCACATTGCTCTTTGCTACTTCCTTGCTCGTGAGCTGCAGCAGCGTGGTCAGCTGCGCCTTGCTTACGGGGCCTCTGAGGCCAACAATGCTGATATCTTTACCAAGGCACTTCCTCCTTGTGATCATCTGCGCTTGTGTACGATGTTAGGTCTTGTGCCTACTTGGCCTCACTTGCTCACTTCTTGACCTTGCTTGTACTGTGATCTTTCTATACCTGCACTTTCTTGTTTGCCTTTATATATGATCTTGCATGTGAACTGGCCTTTTGGCCTTGCTCTTGTGCTCGTATTGTGTGGTGACTTTGTGATCCACTGTGAGCTTGCTTTGCTTTGCTTGACTGGTCTTGGAACCTCTTCTTCTCCCCCACTTTGCCTATGGGGGTCTGTCAAACTATTATACTCTAGTTTGTGTAGGCTGTAGTGGGGTGGACTATATGGGGTACAACATTTCTAGGTTTTCCTACTTGTACCCACCTGCTTGCTAGTTCATTCATTCCTCAATTCTCTCAATTCTCACATGTCCCAACCCAACCTTGGAGGCCTATAATTGGACCAAGGTTGGGTTCCAACCCCCAACTAGGGTTAACGCTAGTTGTGCACCCAAACATAGTTAGGGTGCCTATCTCTATCCTAGGGTTTATAGGATCAATGCAGGATACAGAAGAGTAGTATAATCTAACACAACCCCTTAGCCTGCGCAGATCCATAAACCTGGATGAGATAAGACAGCAACCCCTGAATCAGTCACCATGGGGAGCAAGGCCCAGGAGGGGCAAGAGTGCCGAGTGAGTGGCGCGGTCGAGGGCTTTAGTGAATATGTCAGCTGGGTTGGAGGACGAGTCGATTTTGCGCACGGTTATGTGACCATCCTGGACAAGATCGCGGACGAAGTAGTGTCGGAGCTCGATATGCTTGGAGCGACCATGGAACACAGCTTCTTTGGTGAGGTGGATGGTGCTGGCGTTGTCACACTAGAGAGTGGGATAGGGCTGTGGTGAGCCAAGGTCTGTGAGGAGATAGCTGAGCCAGCGTGTTTCCTGTGCTGTCATCGTGACCGCGTAAAGTTCAGCCTCGCAAGAGGAGAGAGCGATGGAGGAGGAGCGGGTGGAGCGCCAGCTAATGAGGCCGCTCCCAAGGGTGAAGCCATATCCTTGTGTGCTGCGACGGTCAGGCTGTGAGTCCGCCCTGGACGAGTTGCTAAAGCCAGTGAGAACACGCGGGTCTGCTCCACCAAGGGCGAGGGTGTAATCCTTTGTGTGCTGAAGGTAGCGTAGGACACGCCGGGCCGCCGTCATGAGTTCCTCTGTGTGTCTGCCGACACCAACGAATCGCTCCAAAACACTGACTTGGTAGGTAAGGTCGGGGCGTGTGCAGACCATGGCGTACATCAGGCCCCCGACAAGCTCTGCATAGGGGTTTGAGGAGTCAGTGGGGGTATTAGGGGGCGCGAGCTGGTGCCCAACTGCAAGCGGGGTGGCGATGGGCTTGGCTTTTGACATTCCGAACCTCTCAATGACCTTCTCAATGTAGAAGGACTGAGAGAGGGAGATAGTCTTGGCCTTGAGGTCGCGAGTGATCTCCATGCCAAGGTCGTTGCGGACCTCCCCCAGGTCTTTGCAGGCGAGTCGACGCTGTAGTTCGTCCTTGACCTCCTGCATCTCAGCATCTGTGTCGACGACTAGTAGCATGTCGTCGACGTAGACGAGAATGTAGAAAGGTGACGAAGCCGTCCGAAGGAAGAGGCTGGAGGCCGCTCGGGAGGGGCGAAAACCAAGCTCGCGAAGGGTGGAACAGAGCTTGGCATGCCACTCCCGGGGTGCCTGCTTGAGGCCGTAGACGGGCCGCAGCAGCTTCCAAAAGGTGGACGGGTCATGTGGAGCATGAAAGCCTTTGGGGCGTTCCATGAAGATGAGTTCGTGTAGGTCGCCTTGGAGGAAGGCGGTAGTGACATCCATGGAGTGTAGCAGCATGCCGCGTCTGCCGACGAAGTCGAGGAACATCCGAACGACCGGTGGGGTAGCAGTGGGTGAGTATGTTTCAAAGAAGTCATAGCCGTGCTTCTGCGTGAAGCCCTTCGCCACATAGCGAGCTTTGTAGACAGGGTCTTCGCCAGGGAGAAGATTGACACGGAAGAGCCATTTGCCCTTGACGTCATTGGTCTTGGCACGGCAAGGGACGTCGATGAAGGAGCGGTTGCAGATGAAGGCGTTGCTTTCCTTGACCATGGCTTCAATCCAGAGCGGTGCGTCGAGGCAGGCAATTGCCTGCTCGTACGTGGTGGGTTCGAAGATGGTGGGGGTGCCCGAGAAGAGAAGAACAGGAGTGCCTGCCATGGTGCGGACGATGGGGGCGATGGAGGGCGCGAGGAGGTGGAGGAAGAGGAGTTCGTCGTGGGTGTCTTCATAGAGGAGAGGAGAGAGAGGAGGAAGAGGGGGTGGTGAAGATGCAAGACAGCTACGCTGGAGGTCGAGTCTGCGACATGGAAGTGCTGCTGCTCGGCTGCGCGGTGGTGCTGTCAAGAGCGTGGAGCGGTTGCGCAGTGGATCTGGAGTGAGGGGGCTGAAGCGGGGGGGGAGGGAAGTACCGGTGAGGGCGAGGAGGGAGGGGGGGGAAGTCTGTGGGGAACTAAGGATGGGGTCCAGGGAGCGGGTGTGGGGATAGCGGGGAAGGACAAGGGTAGGGGAGGGGCGTTGGGGAAGAGGGGGGGGAGGCGGAGGGGGGGGCGGATTAGAGGAGGGGAGCGGGGATGGAGGGGAAGGGGGCGGGGGAGGTGGAGGAGGGGGAGGAGGAGGAGGGAGGTGAGTTGCAGCGGAAGGTGAGGTAGTGGAGTGGGAGAGGGAGGGGGGGGGGTGGGTTAAGGATGTCGCCGGAGGAGCAGGAGGAGAGTGGAGGGGGGAGGGGTGGAGGATCGGGGGGAGGGGTCATGGCAGGGGACGGGAGGATGGGCAGGGTGTCAGTCTTGAGAAGGGGCCGGGGAAATGGGGGAAGGGGGTTAGGGGCGGAGGGGGAGGTGTAGTACGGGGTGGTCTCGTCAAAGACCACGTCCCGACTACGGATGAGGCGGCCTGAGGGGGGGTGGAGGAAAAGGTAGTCAGGTGAGTTGGAGTTGTGTCCAAGGTAGACACAGGGGAGTGTGCGGGACGCAAGCTTTCCACGTGCGCATGAGCGGTCGGCAGGGTGTATGAGGACATACGCCTTGCAACCCCAGACACGCAGAGGAGATATGTCAGGCTTGCTGGAGGTCCATAGTTCGGTGGGGGTGGAGGTGGGACGGGAAGGGTGGGGGTAGAGGCTAGTGAGGATGGCAGCGTGAAGGATGGCATAGCCCCAAAGAGAAGGTGGGCAGGAGGCGTGAACGAGGAGGCACCGAGCAGTTTTGGTGATCTCCCGAACGCGGCTCTCCGCCACACCATTCTGCTGAGGGGAGAGTGTAGGTGTGGAGGATGCCGTGAGAGGTGCAGTAGGAGGACAAGGTGCGGTTAAGGAACTCACCGCCTCCATCGGAATGGAAGCGGCGAACGGGGCGACCGAAGTGGTTGCGTGCTTGTTCAGCCCAGGCAGTGATTGCAGCCGGGGCCTCCGCCTTCGTACGAAGGAGGGTGACGGAGGAGTAACGACTGTGATCATCCACCAGGATGAGGAGATAGCGATGTCCTTGCCTGGTGGGGGAAGGGTTAGGGCCCCAAAGATCCATGTGGACGAGGTCAAGGGGTTGGAGGGAAAAGGAGGGGTTACTCGTGTGTGGTTGTTGCTTCACCTTGCTTTCAACACAAACTGAGCAAGGAGGGGAGGGGGGAGGAGGGAGGGGGGAAAGGGTAAGGGGGAGACCGTGAAGGAGTTTAGTGAGGATGGATCGGCGAAGGGTGGCAAAGTTGGGATGGCCTCGTCGATGGTGGAGGAGAATGGTGGGGTGTGTGAGATCACAACAATGACAGGGGGAGGGTGAGTTAGATGGGGGGGGAGGGGAAGGGGCGGGGGGAGGGAGAGGGGGAGGGGGAGGGGGGGGGGGGGAGGGGGAGGGGGAGGGGGAGGGGGAGGGGGAGTGGGAGGGGGGGGCGGGAGGTTCGAGAGGAGGGGAAGGGGTGGGGGGATGGGTTGTGGAGAGTTGGTGAAGTGTGGGACGGGGGATGCGGAAGGTGTACATGTGGGTGGAGGGGCACCGATGGACACGGCAGAGGAAGTGACCGGAGGAGGTGTGAAACAAGTCACAATATGCTGCGTGACCAGGGAATAGGGCGGTGACACCTGCTGTTGAGAGGGCACCAAGGGATACGAGGTTGTTACGAAGGGAGGGGATATAGAGACCTGTGACGGTACCTGAGGGAAAGAGGGGACAGGGGAGTGTGGAGGTGTAACGGCTTTGTATGGCAAAGCTTGATTCAGCCCCATAGATTGTGGAGGGGGTGGAGAGGGGGAGGAGCGTGCCTGCATCACGAAGGACCGTGTGTGTGGCTCCGCTGTCAAGGATGAACTCAAGGGGCTGAGGGGAGGAGGAGGACACGGAGTACTGGAATGAGGACTCATTAATAGCATTGGCATACATAGGATCATTGCAAGAGCTAGCAGTAGTGACATGACCTATGAAGCCAGTGGAAGGAAACGGTGTGAAGCTGGGGGGTGAGAGGAGGAGGTGGGTTGTTCAGCAGCTGCGGCAGTTGCAGCAGTTGCGACAATTCCATGGCCATACATAGATGGGGGGTAGGGAGGGTAGGGCCAGCCGGCATAAGGAGGAGGATAGAGAGGAGGATAGGGGGAGGGAGGGGTTTGAGGTGGGGGCGTGGGTGGAGGCGGGGTGGTGGGGATGGAGGGCGTGGGGGTGGTGGTGGGTGTGGGGAGAAGGTGTTGGACTTGCTGGAGGACGTGAGGGGAGAGGTGCTGAGCGAGGACATTATGGAGGTTAGGTGGAGAGGGAGCATAGGTGGAGAGAGTGCGAATGTCATGAGGGGTGGGGCGAGGGGTGATGGTGTTCCAACGCGGAGGGGGGCCTGTGTTGCCGCATGCAAGCCATTCATCAGTGAGGGCTTTGAAGCACGTTTCAGTTGGGTGAGTGGTCTGGTTGCAGGTCTGACCTTTGTTGGGGCCTTGACGAATGACGTACTGGCATGGGGGAAACCCACTTGTGGATGGAGTAGTTGCTCCACGTCCGCCGCGTTCCCCAGTGCGCCCTCCTCGTCCGCCTCTGCGACCGCCTCCTCGACCACCTCCGTTTGAGCCACGTCCAGGTCCACTGCTCCTGCTTCCGCCGGCGTTAGTGGTTCCTTTGCGAGCGTGGACTGCATTGACCGTTGCAGAGTCACGTAGGAGGTCAGCCTCACTGTCAAGGAGCCAGTCGATGGTAACAGCCACAGGAGGAGGACAAATGTGCTGGGAGATGAAGTTGATGCGGTAAGTGTCATAGGTGGGTGGGAGGCTGTCAAGGATGCGTGCTGTAAGAAGGGTGTCTGAGATCAAGATGCCTCGATCATTGAGGCGTTGCGCAGTATCCGTGAGACGCCGAGCGAAGGAGGCGGCATTGGGGGAGGAGTCAAGGGTGATGTCTTGGAAGGTGCGAAAGAGGGAGAGGAGGGAACGTAAGTCCCGACGATCATATTGAGAGGAGAGAGACTTCCAGAGAGAGGGGGAGGATGGAGGGCGAAGGTCACGTTTAAGAGAGGAGGGGATGCACGAGAAGATGACAGTGAGTGCACGGCGGTCAGCAATGCGCCATGCAGCAGTATCGGAGTGGGTGCTTACGAAGGTTAGTAGAGTATGCTTCGGAGGTGGCTTGAAACTCTGCAAGCTTTGCAGTAGCAGCTTTGTGAGCGGCGACGGCAGCCGTGTGTGCTCTGCCCTTGATGACATAGTCGTCCTGCTCCTTGTTGTACTTGTTGAGGGTGCGAGCCCACCTGTCTGGGTCATCCTCCCAAGCCCCTAGGATGGGGGCTTGAGGGGCGGGTTCGGTCGGGAGTGGTGGGGCGTCAGGGGGGGAGGAGCCTGGGAGCGGGGGCGGGGTGGGAGGGAGGCCGTGAGGCGTTTCGAGGACGACGTCAAGGAGGCAATAATCTCCCACTCGAACGGAGCCAAGGTACGTGAAGAGGCTCTCTTCAAACGACACCCAATTGACTGCGGTGGTGCCGTTGAGGAGCTCGAGTTTGTCTATTGAGGCGAGCTCAAGTGACGAAGGGTCGTCCGCCATGACGAGTGAGGGAGGGAGGGAGGAGGAGAGGGTGGAGGTGCTAGAGGTGACGACGCTGTCCGGAGGGACGGCGCGGTCTGTGGTGGAGATGAGCTGCGTGCTGTCCGCAGCTGGTTACTCCCTCGTCTGGTCGCGTTCGCGGCTGCTGCCTGCGTCTACGGCGGCTGCCCGCGTTCGCCCCGTCTGCAGCGGCTGTCCGCGGATGTCGCGTCCGCGGCGGCCGCCCGCGTTCGCCCCGTCCGCGGCGGCTGTCCGCGGATGTCGCGTCCGCGGCGGCTGCCCGCGTTCGTCGCGTCCGCGGCGGCCGCCCGCGTTCGCCCCGTCCGCGGCGGACGGCCGCGTTCGTTCCGTCCGCGGCGGACGGCCACGTTCGTCGCGTCCGCGGCGGACGGCCGCGTTCGTCGCGTCCGCGGCTGACGGCCGCGTTCGTCGCGTCCGCGGCAGACCGTCGAGGTGAGGAGAGGAGCGCCGAGATGGCGCGAGGGGCACGGCAGAGCCGGCGGACGTGCGCTAAGTAGCGCGAGGGGCGCGGCAGAGCTGGGGAGAGGTGCGCTTAAGTGGCGCGAGAGACGCGACAGAGCCGGGGATGAGGTGCGCTAAGTGGCGCGAGAGGTGCGCTAAGTGGCGCGAGAGGTGCGGCAGAGCCGGCGAGAGGTGCGCTAAGTGGCGCGAGGAGTCCTAGGATCTTGAGCGGCGTTAGCCGTAAGAGCTTTGATAGCATGTTAGAATTGAACCAGTCATTTGATTAGGAATCATGAGGGTTTACAAAGTGGAAGCTAGGGGAGGGGGGGTTGGTTGGTTACCTAGCCAACATTATTGGCCCCCCACCAATAAGTTGGGTTGGAGAATTATTGGGGGGTCCCAATAATGTTGGCCAAAGGTGGGCCAACATTATTGGGGGGGCCAATAATCTCCCAGCCCAACCTTGGAGGCCAATAATTGGATCAAGGTTGGGTTCCAACCCCAACTAGGGTTAACCCTAGTTGTGCACCCAAACATAGTTAGGGTGCCTATCTCTATCCTAGGGTTTATAGGATCAATGCAGGATACAGAAGAGTAGTATAATCTAACAGACCTCACGCTCACGGTCTCGTCCACCGTCACGCAGTATCTCGGCCTCAATATTCAGGAGGAAGAAGACGCGATGTACCTCAACGCCGTGAAATACACCGACACTAACGCCAAACGCTTCAGACTCACCCCGATCACCATCTCCACGCCGTACCACTACACCGCAGGAAACCACAAGGAAGGCCCCGTACGCTCAAGCCTGCCGGCATACGCGACTACGAGAGAAAGCTGGGATGCCTACTCTTCGCAGCCGTCACCTGCCGTCCAGATCTATCGTACTCTGCGAGTCAACTTGCCACCTACCTCAAAAGGCCCGAAGCAGAACACATGGCGGAGCTCGATCGCGCTCTTCACTACCTCGTTAGCACTCCGACGATCGGCCTGACCTATTACAAGAACGGAAGCTCGACACCTAAGTTAATAGGCTATGTTGACGCCCATCACGCCGGCGACTCCGACAACAGACGCTCGCGCACCGGCTACATCTATCGCTTCGAACCTATTGGACCTATCTCGTGGCAGTCGAGAAAGCAGGAGTTAATCACCCTCTACTTAGCTGAAGCAGAATATATCGCACTCTGCTCAGCCACCAAGGAAGGACTGTACCTTCGCGAACTCTTGGAGGAAGCACAGCTGGCTCGGTTACCCAACTTCTCCCTGTTCTGCAACAACCAGTCAGCAATCCGCATCGCGAACAAAAATGGATTCGCGAACAGGACGAAGCACATCGCCCTGCGATATTTCTTTGTGAAGGACGAGATCGAGAAAGGCAGACTCGAGCTGTCTTACTGCCCCATGTCTGAGATGGCAGCTGATTACTTGACCAAGAAGCTCGGCAAGCAAAAGTTCGAGTACTGCATGCTGCTGACTGGACAAGGACACGTCACCCGCAACGACACTCCAGAAGCAAGGTGAGTGTTGGAAACAAGTGATTTAAGCGCCTCTGTCGCGTCGAAACACTAAGTCGTAAACGAAGCGAAACACAGCGAAGCATCAGCGAGTCATCCTTCGAAGGTTGAGTAACTGCTGGAGGTTACGCGAAAGTCAAAGGTCAGCGACCTTTGACCTGACAAATACAGCACGACAGTAAGGACAAAGAACTGACTCGTTATTGAGCAGTTGCCCGAGTCGTCACAGTATCGAACCGCAACAGCAATAGTAAAACAGTTATTAACTGTATTCCGTGTATTCTTATAAAAGCTTGTATCTCTTTGTTTTAATCAATCGACTTTGCCCTCACATACCAGGGTCTCACGTAGATAATGTGTGTTGTGTCAGAACATTATAGCTTATACATTTGTGTAGGCTGTAGTGGGGTAGCCCATAAGGGGTACAACCCAATTAGGGTTAGTACTTGTACCCAACTGTTTCATAGTTCATTCATTCCATTCTCACTTCTTGTCATGGTATCGAGCAGGTTCCCGAATGGGAATACTGCCTAGAGCCCACCACGAACTTTTTTTTCCTTCCCTGCCCGGAGCGCGCTTAGCTCCTAACCCGAGTAGCGCCCCGAGCTGCCTTAGTGGCCCCTTTTGGCCGCCCTTACTGCCCCTTGAGCCGCCCGCTACGGCCCCGCTACGGCCCCGCTACGGCCCCGTCGGCCCCGTTACGGCCCTGCTTAGGCCCTGCTACGGCCCAGTCGGCCCCGCTTAGGCCCCGCTGTCAGAATCCCAACCACTAGACCATTGGGAATAAAGGGCTTGTTTCAGTAGCGGGTCAGTGCGCCCATAACCCCCCAAGCGAACGCGCCTATAACCCTCTCCAGGATCAATCGGGCATCCACAGTGCAGATCTACTGACACCCCCCCACACTAGGAGGCACAGGACTAAGCACAGCGGCAACGGCCTACATGTGCATACACCGGGAATCGAACCCGAGACCGCTCTGATACCATGTCAGAATCCCAACCACTAGACCATTGGGATAAAAGGGCTTGTTTCAGTAGCGGGTCAGTGCGCCCATAACCCCCCAAGCGAACGCGCCTGTAACCCTCTCCAGGATCAATCGGGCATCCATAGTGCAGATCTACTGACACCCGCTACGGCCCAGCTACGGCCCCGCTACGGCCCCGTCGGCCCCGCTTAGGCCCCGTCGGCCCCACTTCGGCCCCGCTACGGCCCCGCTACGGCCCCGCTTAGGCCCCGTCGGCCCCGCTACGGCCCTGCTACGGCCCCGCTACGGCCCCGTCAGCCCCGCTTAGGCCCCGTCGGCCCCGCTACGGCCTCGTTGGCCCCACTTAGGCCCCGCTACGGCCTCGCTTCGGCCCCGCCTAGGCCCCGTCGGCCCCGCTACGGCCCCACTTAGGCCCCGCTTCGGCCCCATCGGCCCCACTTAGGCCCCGCGTCGGCCCCGCTACGACCCCGTCGGCCCAACTACGGCCCCTCTTAGGCCCCTGCCACGGCCCCGTCCCGTCGCCAACGCGGCCCCGCCCACCCTTGCGGCCGGCCGCCATCTGCGACCCCGCCGCCCAGCGCCCGCACCGCCGGGCAGCTGAGCCGCCCGACCGCCCAAGCCGCCCAGCTACCGAGCCGCCAGGCAGCCGAGCCGCTCGACAGCCGAGCCGCCCAGCAACCGAGCCGCCAGGCAGCCGAGCCGCCCAGCAGCCGAGCCGCTCGACAGCCGAGCCGCCCAGCACCGTGCAGCCGAGCCGCCCAGCAGCCGAGCCGCCCAGCAGCCGAGCCGCCCAGCAGTCGAGCCGCCCAGCAGCCGAGCCGCCCTGCAGCCGAGCCGCCCGACAGCCGAGACGTCGAGCAGCCCGATCGCCCCACCTGCCTGGTAAGAGCCCAGTCTCTGCCACTGCACTGCCCTGCCTCACTACCCTCACTGCCTGCCTACTGCTGTTATGGCTTCCCCTAGCGTTCTCACCTTTGACGCTGAGGGTCGGGCAGCGGACTTTGAGGTCTGGGTAGATGATCTGCAGCTTTTTCTGCAGTGCAATAGGGCAGACGGCCTCTCCCTGTTTGACCTCACTTCTGGTGCCTCCCCTGCCCCTGCTGCTGATGCTGACGCCACTGTTCGCTCACAGTGGGCCACACGTGATGCTGCTGCTCGCCTTGCTATTCGCCGCCACTTACCGACCACTGAGCATGCGCACTTTAGCCAGTACAAGAGTGCTCAGACCTTGTACGACGCTGTAGTTGCACGCTACTCCTCCCCTGGCACTGCTGCACTGAGCCGCCTCATGCTACCGTTCCTCTTCCCTGACCTTGCTGCCTTTCCCACTGTCGCTGACCTCATTACGCACCTCCGCACTCTTGACACTCGCTACCGCGCTGCGCTTCCTGCTGAGTTCTGCGCCAAGAACCCCCCCCCCCCATGTACATCACCCTCTACTACATAGTCACCAGGCTCCCTGACTCTCTTCGCGTAGTCAGGGACCACTTCCTCTCAGTTTGCCCCACAAATCTCACTGTTGACCTCCTCGAGAAGGCCCTCCTAGCGATAGAGAAGAGCATAGTCGCTGTAGGAGCCTCTCGTGGTGACCCTCGCACCCCCGTCTTTGAGGGGTTTTCTCCCTCCCCCCTCTTGCCCTCTGTTGCCTCTGCTGCTGCGGCCGACCTCGTTGGTTTCGAGTCGGTCGGCGCTGCGTCTGCCCCGAGCGGGAGACGCCGCACCGGCAAGGGCAAAGGGGGCAAGGGCACTGAAGGGGGTGGAGGGGGCGGTGGAGGTGGTGGTGGAGGCGGTGGAGGGAGTGGGGGTGGTGGTGGGAGTGGTGCCGGGGGTGGTGGCGGCGGCAGCAGCAGTGGAGGCGGCGGAGGCGGTGGAGGTGGCGGAGGGAGCGGAGGCAGCGGAGGTAGTGGAGGAGGCGGAGGTGGAGGAGGCGGCGGAGGCGGATGAGGCGGCGGCGGAGGCGGAGGCGGCGGTGGTGGAGCGAGTCGCGACTCTGCGCCGAGGA